GTAAAAAAAAAAAAATATCTACTCATCATGTGACTATTAAAGTATATTGTTATATTTGACTATTAGTTACTGGTGTTCATATCAAAATTATATATATATATATATATATATATATATATATATATATATATATATATATATATATATATAGGATTCAGTACAATCAGTGCAATTTGAGGTATTCATTAACATATCCCCCTGCTTCTGTAAACAAGGGTTGACTACTATATCAAATAGGCCAGTCAACATCTATACTTATAATATTGGACATTAGCCAGAAAGAGATGTTTGGTTGGTAGCTGGTTGAGAAACCTATGAAGAATAAATTCAACTTTCATGCAGTAAACCATTATTGAGAATGATCACCAAAATATACTTAGTTTGGTAATTTAACGTATGATAAAGAGTTCAATCATTTTTTTTTTTTTATTGTTTCATCCTCAAAACAAGGTGATAATGCCATCAAGATGTAAGGAGTTACTGAGAGTGAAATAAAATAAAAAGATGCTATGGAGGAGGAAAAACAATAAAAGAACATTATTCAAGAAGACAGTAAATGGCGATTGATGTCACATTTAAATTTTTGAAGATTGTAGGTGGCAGGGAAGTAAGAAACCGGAAAAGAATTCCACAGGCAAGAAACATGAGATAAAAAACGTATTAGAATAGAAGTTAGTTACATTTAGCTATTTCAACAGTAAAAAGGTGAGGCTTAGTTGCCAATCTGGTCATACACCTAAATTCATTTGTTCGAGGTACCAGGAATTAAAGCTCAATAAGAATAATTGCCATGAAAATATTTATAGAAAAGATAAAGGGCAGTCTTGTCACAGTGGTGGAAAAGTGACCAAAGTTGAGATGCCAGGTCAGGACCGATAACATTACAAACCCTTCTTTGGATTTTGTTGATATATAGCAGCAAGGTCACCACACCAAATATGTCAACAATATTCAATGCACAGATGAATGGTAGATTTATAAATGTGCAGGAAGGATTCTGGTGAGAAGAACTGTCTGGTACAACACAGTGAATCAACTTTCCTAGCAGCAAACCTAGCAAATTAATGGATAGGTGCCCTGTAATTTTAAGCAAAGATCAGGTAATATCTAAAAGATTTCTATTACAGAACAATATTTCATAGGTTAGGATTGTTTTGATTTTTATGGTTTATCAACCCTTTGTTGGTTATTTAAAGTCAAAACATATTTTGAATTCAAGAAGAATTCATTTTTGTAAACAATATTTTGTGAATAATAAGTTTTTCAAATACCAGTCCTACTATTTAACCTATAGCTAGGAGAAGGAGATAGACTTATCTTTTTTCAGCTTTTTCAATTACCTTGGTACTTGTAACCTTGTGTTAGACTCATTCACAGCATTATAAGTGGTGGGAGCTAAAGCCCCTTGTGTTTTGCTGGAACTGTGAACTAAACAAGAGACTAAATTTATCTTATTGACCTCAATATACGACAATGCTATTGAACCGAGTTATACCACTTGTCTAAAATCATTACTGTCATTAATTTCCAATATCATTTGTCTAAAATCATTACCGTCATTAATTTTCAAAATCATTTGTCTAAAATCATTACCGTCATTAATTTTCAAAATAAATCAGAAAACATCATTTCCCTTTTTTATTTGTTTGAAACATTAGGTTCTAAAACTTATATACAAGTTTTTTCTTTTTCTTTCTCATTTTTTTTAAAATCATTTTACCACAAAGGGCTCACTAAAATGCAGGGGGTTACTTGGAGTGAAACAAAATGACAGCATGTTACTAAAGAGAAAAGACGATAGAAGAACAGATTTCAGGATGACAAGATGGTATTGATATTTTTGAAGATCATAGGTGGCAGGAAAACAAGAAACTGGAAGAGAGTTCCACAAGGGAGAACTGCAAGAAAAGAAACTATTAGAATAGAACTTACAGTTACATTTAGCTATTTCAATATTAAAACAATGAGACCTAGTTGCCAATGCTTAATGTTGTATGCTTAAATTCATGTGGTTGATGTACGAAGGAAGAAACCTCATCAGAACAATTACCATGAAAATATTCAATGGAAAGGCACAGGGAAGCTACATTACAGCAGTGGCAAAGTGACTGAAGCTCTAAATACATAGCTGAAACACCAGACCAGATGTGACAGCAATATTCAATATATAGACGAATTGTAAACTAAGATAGCTTCTAGCAAGAAAAATTGTCTAGGACAACACAGTGAACCAACGATCCTAACAACAAACCAATATAATCGTTTCACTTCATGTCAGTGGTAAATATTAGCCTTAGAAGGCACTATGAATCACTCACCTGGAGATTCGTATCAGCCATGCTGATGGAAGGCAAAAAAGGTTATCTAAGACAATTAAATGAGATTACTTTTATTTTGAAAATATTAAAATTTACAAGCTATTTCTTGCTCCAGTTAGTAGGACTTGTATCTGGAAAAAATCATCATCTCATGAATATATTTATAGAAAAGACATTGCATTATGGCAATGGGATAATAACTGAAATTGAGATTCCAGGTCAGGACCAATAACATTGCTGACTCCTCTTTGGATTTTGTGAAGAACATTGAGATATATCAGGAACACCAGAAAAGATGTGATAGTAATATTCAATGCATGGACAAATGGTAGATGTGCAAGAGGGTTTCTGGCAAGAAAAATGTCTAGCATGACACAGTGAACCAACTATTTGACCAACAAGCTTAGCAATTGAATCAATATAATCATTCCACTTCATATGAGTGGAAAACATAAGACCAAGGCAGAATGAGTCACTCTCCTGGAGGTTAGCATCAGCCATGATGAAGGAAGGTAAAAATAGTTCTCCAAGATGAATAAAAGATAGCAGTTTTGTTTTGTAGGCATTCAAATTTACAAGTCATTTCTTGCCCCAGGTAACACTGATTGGAGGTTATTTGAGAGATTAGCTGCCAGTTTTACTTCATTGGATTAAGACAGAAGTAAATAGTTGTGTCATCAGCATAATTTCAGTGTTGGGAACTGATGACATCAGGGAAAATCATTGAAGATAAGAAACACCATAGGCCCAAGGACATTAATATTAAATGGTCTGGAAATGTATATACCTCATTCCAGTAATAAACCATTAACACTCTGGCAGTACTTTTGTTCACCAAAAGGTTTGTTCTACTGCAAGCAAATCTGATTCCCAAACAACAGTATATTTGAAATTCATTTTTGTGTTGTCATATCCTGCTATGGCAACAGTAAAAACAATCATATTTGAAATCAAGAACCAGGCTACTGCACTTATCAAGCAAGGTCTTAGGGAAGTCATACTTGTAAATAATGCAGATTGATAAAGGTTAAGTACTAGCAAAAAGAGAAAAAAATGTGTATTTTGTTCATTCTCTGTGAGGAACAGATAAAAATAAGGAATATATGAAACTTATGGTGCAGTAATAGATAGCAGCTCGGATTGAGAAATCCAAGAGCCAAGTTCGATTTCCAGTCAAATCCATTACAATCACTTACATGCTAATACCCTTGGGAAAGATATGAATCTTCTTTTCCCCCTCAGTTTTGGGTAAATAGTAGGACAGACCAGAGTCTATAACCTTGGATGGCAACTAGTTTACTGCAAAAAGAAATGGCAACCTACTGCAAGAAAAAAAATCCTGCAGATCAGTCATGTATTGAAAGATACATGATTGCTTAAACACAAAATGTTCATATAACTGACTAATATCTGAATCAAAAAAATAGCATACCTACAAAAATAATGTGTATGTCCCCATTCATAAATACAAATAGTAAACACTGTTTTGGTCTGCAGTTAAAATTCATTGTAAAATTCATTTGACTCACTTCTAGCAAAAATGAAATAAACTTTACATGCTCTTTAGATTTATCTTATATGTCTTGTTTGTTTCAAGCATGTATTAAAATTCATTACCAACCTTCGTGTGAAATTCTATTCAGTAACCTTCCTAAATTAAAAACAACCCAAGATAGTCTCCCCTGCCCACTTTTTATTTGGCAGTGTGTCCTGCTTGAAAATAGGCTAAATATCCACTTTAGTGTTTATTAAAAAGTCAAAGATGAGGAGTGTGGCCACAATAAAGCTTTAGAAAAGAGATTGAGGAGTTAAAAGAAAAAAATAATTAAGTCTAGAGAATATTGCAACACTTGGATCGAAGCTGTTCATAATGACAATAAAAATATTCCTTTGTATTGTGATTATGAGTTGGCAAGATTCCCTCAGAGTTAAGCTATTGGAAATAGCAAGATATATATGGTACTGAAAAATAGGCTTACCTAATTTCTGATACTAAGCTGAAAGAAATTAAATGAATAACAAGAAAATGTCTATTTTATTATATTATTAATAAAAAAAATTGTCATGTAGCCATTATTCACTCAGTGTCAAACTTCATTTTCAGCAGGTTTATTTTATTTTTATAGTAAGGTTCACCCTGTAAAAGGTCTGGGGTCCACTCAAAGTAGATTATATTAAGAGGTATATGTATAGGAGGAGAAGATAATGGTTAACTTTAGACATGAAAAGGTTAAAATTAATATTTTGACACTAAAATTTTGGCTTTAATTGCATCCAAAAGAGTTGTTTTCAAAGGTTTTAAAAATAACTTACTTCTCAATTGGAATACAGAGAGAATGTGGATGGTTTGCTACTATGTAAGTAGCATTTTCTTAATGTCCCAACCATGAAAGTTTTGATTTGAGAGAACCAAGGTTTTTGTTTTTCGTATGTATTTTTTTCCATGGAAGTAGTGATAGAAATATGAGAGACTTTTCACACCACCACTATCTGATATTTGAATCAAAAAGTTTTAGACATGTGCCCATATATTGTTGTTACAAAGGTGGCATAGATGTTTACAAATGATCCGAGTATATTCTTAGGCAGATCATATATGTAAATCAGAAAGAGGATTGGTCTGAGAAGTTACCTGCAAGGGACATCTGCATTGACTGCCAGGGCCTCAGAGACTGGGTTTATGGTCATATCACGTTGAAATAAATTCTCATACGATCACCAAAGTTAAGCAACATTGAGTCTGGTCAGTACCAAGATGAGTGACCACTTGAGAATACCAGGTGCTGTAAACTTGAATGTGTGGTTGGTGTAATGGATAACAGCTAGGAATTGAGGGTTGGAGAGCCAAGTTCCAATTCCATTTGGGTTAGTTTTATTCATTTATGTGCAAATACTCTTGGGAAAGGTATGAATTCACCTCTTCTCTCCCCAGCTATGGGTTAATTAGTAGGTCTTGTATCAGTAAATCATTGTTATTTCCAAAAAAATATTACAATTAAAAATATTTTCTGGCTTTAAATAACCTGAAAAATGTTCATAAGCTGTAAAGAACAAATCGGTTAATCAATCATTTTCAAAAACACATACGAAAGTGAGGGAGACTCTTTTTTTTTTTTCCTGGAAGAAGGCTAAATACAGCCAGTCCAGAGACAGCTGAAATTTCTAGGGCACAAGAAAAAAAGGTTTAGAAAATTTGACACTCACAGGACATATTGAAGGTAAGAGAGACAAAAGGGAAACAGCAAATAACACACAAAACAAACTTGTGTAAATTGATGGCAGAACAGAGAATGGGAGGGACAGTAAAAAGATAAATGTTGTTAAGAGCTACAAAGTTGAGGAAAGAAGGAGACAACAACTAAAAGAATATCATAATCACTCCTGATGATGTCTCAGTTTCATTACCAGCTTTGAAATTATTAAAAATATGAAGATTTGTATTTTAAAAAAAGTAATGAAAGAATTCCATTTGCAATAAATATCAATACTAAAAGATATATATTTGCAAAATTTATCCCTGCATAAACACTACATTTTTTATGAGTACTATGCTATGATTATTTATTTATTCATTTTTTTTTTTTATTTAATTTTATTATTATTAAGCAATTAAAAGGTTCTTAATATATTCAAAAAAGACTTAATTAGAAACATTATTCATTTTAGTAATTCATCCCTAATTATCAAAAGTGATGATTCAGTTACAAAATGGTACATTGACAACAGATCAGTAATTAACTGTAACACCCATAAAAACTGGAAAAGGAAATTATCATGTTCGTTAATTAAACTAATAACATATCAACAATAACTAAGCAGCAATAAAAAGGGAAAAAAAAAAGCTGAAATTTTGCCTAATTATACAAGTTAAAATACTGCCCAAATTATTGATTTTTTTGATACTTTTTTATATTTACTTTGTTGCTAGGAAGGGGTGTTGAAATGTTCTCAGTTAGACCCACTTTCCCAAATCTCATCAAATGTTCAAACATCAGAATTGTTTTGTTTTTAATTTGTTCAGGGTTTTGTGTTTGTCAGGCTGAGAACAGTTCAACAAAAAAAAGTGTAGATCTTGTATTGATACAAAGGATTGAAAATTTTTGATCTATCTGTTTAATAAATCTTGCCTCTTTTTTAATTGGAAATTACCTGAACAACTTATATAATAAAATTAAGAGATCATCCGATTCCACTACCTTGTTTTCACCTTTTCAGTATCTTCAGGTGATTTTGGTCAATAGATTTCCTAATGCCATTTTTTTTTTTTTTTTTTTTTTTTAAATAAAAAATTCTTTATGAACTCTATATTTTTTATAAATAAATTAATAAACAATTTTATTGAGGTTTCAAGGAATATAGAAAAGCAAAGTGTATTTAGAAATGTATAGGTTTTCAGGATTAAATAAATATATCAGGTCATCCCATAAGTTCTGTTCGAATTTTAACTTTTTTAAAATGAATGAAATTTAAAGAGTATTTTATAATGTCTAATGGATCTGAACATTATTTTTATGTTTAGATGGATTTAAACTGATCAAATTTTATTTCAGAGAACAATAAAATTAAATTTTGTTTGATTAAAACCCTGCTAACATGGAAGTACTCATTTGCTTTATGAGTTCAAGGAAACTCAGCAGCTGAAGTGGCTAGAAACATTCACTCAGTTTATGGAGAGGAATGTGTGAATGAAAGAACTTGCAGAAGATGGTTTGCAAAATTCAGAGGTGGAGATTTCACCCTTGAAGATGACGATCGAACTGGACGTCCAGTTGAGTTTGATGAAAAGCTTCTTGAAGCAGCCCTTGAAGAAAATCCTGCTTTATCAGTTGAGGAATTGGCAGTGGTTCTCAGTTCAAACCATACAACTGTTCATCGTCATCTTCAACAACTTGGAAAAGTTCCTGAACTTGGAAAATGGGTGCCTCATGAATTGTCTGAAAACAACCTCAAATCCTGAGTTGACATCTGCTCTTCTCTCCATTCTCGCCAACTTGTTTCACCTTTTTTTTTGATAGACTTGTGACTGGCGACGAAAAATGGATCTTTTATCGAAATGTTAAGCGTCGTAGACAGTGGCTTGGTAAAGGGAAGGACCCCAGCCACAGCCAAGAAAGGAACTTCATGGGCAAAAGGTTCTTCTTTCAATCTGGTGGGATCGCCAAGGAATAATCCACTTTGAATTCTTACCACCTAATGCAACAATTAATGCTCAAATATACTGTCAGCAATTAGAGCGTTTGAACCAAGCTTTGAGGAAAAAAAAAAAGACCTGCTCTAGGGAATCGAAAACGGGTGATGTTTCATCAGGACAATGCGCGACCCCACACAGCAAGAATCACGTCACAAAAGATCGAAGAACTTGGTTGGGAGAAAATTCCTCATCCACCTTATTCTCCCGATCTTGCTCCTTCAGACTACCATTTGTTTCGTATCTTACAGAATCGTTTGGAAGAAACAGCTTTTGTAACACAGGAAGAGGTTAAAATTGACATTTGTGAGGTCTCCGAATCAAAGCCAAAAGAATTTTACAGTAATGGAATTAGTAAGTTTGTTAATAGATGGAAGGCAGTCATAGATAATCAGGGAAAATGCATTGTTGATTGAATCTGTAATTAAATGTAACATTTGGTCACTTGTTTTCTTTATTCAAAATTCGGACAGAACTTATGGGATGACCTGATACATACTTTCTTTTCATCTCACTTCATATGACCTCAAAAGGAACTTTTTAGCATGTATACAAAGTGTCATAATTTCCAATCTCTCATTCAAAAGGTTTGGAAATGTTATTATAGCTAACTTTTCTTGTTGACAAAGGTTGAAGATATTACTATGATTGTTTGAAACTAAGGCAGTGGAATCAGCAGATCTAATTTTTTTTATACTTAAAAGCTCTACATGTTAAATTTTTATCTTTTTATATGTGTATTGAGCACTTTTAATACTACTGTTTCCTGGTCTAATTCAACTCTGACCATTAAGTTTTTTTTTTTATTATATAGGAAGACAGTACACATTTTTACATATCAAGAACAATTTTAGGAGAAAAAAGACCTAAACGACAAAGCATTACATGAAAACTTTCTTTTTGTCACAGAATTCCCCCCCCACACATATATATATATATATATATAAATAAAAGTGAACATAGAAGTCAACACTTATAAAAGTGAACATAGAAGTCAACACTTATAAAAGTGAACATAGAAGTCAACACTTATAAAAGTGAACATATAGATGAACTTATAAAAGTGAACATATTATTACAAAATAAAACATAGAAGTCAACACTTATAAAAGTGAACATAGAAGTCAACACTTATAAAAGTGAACATAGAAGTCAACACTTATAAAAGTGAACATAGAAGTCAACACTTATAAAAGTGAACATAGAAGTCAACACTTATAAAAGTGAACATAGAAGTCAACACTTATAAAAGTGAACATAGAAGTCAACACTTATAAAAGTGAACATAGAAGTCAACACTTATAAAAGTGAACATAGAAGTCAACACTTATAAAAGTGAACATATAGAAGTCAACACTTATAAAAGTTAACAAGAAGTCAACACTTATAAAAAACATAGAAGTCAACACTTATAAAAGTGAACATAGAAGTCAACACTTATAAAAGTGAACATAGAAGTCAACACTTATAAAAGTGAACATAGAAGTCAACACTTATAAAAGTGAACATAGAAGTCAACACTTATAAAAATGAACATAGAAGTCAACACTTATAAAAGTGAACATAGAAGTCAACACTTATAAAAGTGAACATAGAAGTCAACACTTATAAAAGTGAACATAGAAGTCAACACTTATAAAAGTTTTTAGAAGTCAACACTTATAAAAGTGAACATAGAAGTCAACACTTATAAAAGTGAACATAGAAGTCAACACTTAGAGGTGACAGTCTGTTTCATGCCAGATGACGATTGCATCTAGCATGAAACAAATATATATATATATATACATACATGTGTGTGTGTGTATATATGCGTTTGGGTAGCAATCTTTCTACAAGTTTCATTAAAGACAAATGATAAGTTAATGTGATTAAGCTTTTTATTTAATTTTTCTTGTGTTTGTGTAAGTTTTTTTCTTTTCTGTACATAAAAGTGTGTAAAAATTGTGCAAATGTTTGGAATATCCAAGTGCTTTTTGCTATTCTTTTAGCCGTTATCAAGGATATATATATATATATATATAAAAGCAGCAAGTATTCATCAAACCAAAACAAGCTTGAATAAGTAGAACTGGCAAGGTTTGGCAGCTTTACATTTTATTGCATTTCCCAATTTTTTGAATAAGGTGTTCTGTATTGGGATTGAAACTATGAATAAGCTGTCCAAAGTTCTTTTGGTCAAAAGTACTTGAACAAAGCAACAACACAAACATAGACATACATATTTTTATCAATAAGCTCACTCACTGAGGTGTGGTATACAGATATAAAAGAATGCTTGATGTTTTTATGGCAGAGCAAGGACATAATAATTTCAATCAATTGGTGTTCAGTGGCCAGCCACAATTAAAAGTGTGCAATCATCAGGCAAATGATGATTGCATGCTCTCATGGGCATTGAACTTTTAGAAATGGCCAGCTGTTTTATATATAAAGAAGTAGTCATACAAAGAATAAATCAGTAAAGTTAATAATAACACTTTAAAAAAAAAAATCTTTCAACCAGTATTACATTTATTTTCATCTCGGAAATTTACCTGAAATTGAAAAATAACATCCATGCCTGAAGATGATACAAGCAATATCGAAAGTACTTGCAAT